TGTTCAATGCAATTTCTCATTATATGCTATATGTTTCTCTAGACTTGAAGACGTTGAATCAGATAAGAATAAAATTTTGCGCGCTCTCAAAATAAAAGACAAAGAAATTGAAGATTTGGAGCAAAGGTAAGCACCACTATAGATAAACATTGAAATACAAAAATCAGTCTGAGATGACATTTAACGAGATAATCTTACCTAATACTACGCGCGCTTACTATTCTCAAAAATACCCCACGCAAACGTATGAAAACGAGGTGCTTTGGACAAAATAAAATAGGTCTTCGCCTGTGAGAAATTTGAAAGCGGGCGCGCCACTTTAAAATCTTTGAAGAATTGGAGAAATTGGCTCCATTACGTTATTTGAATCTTTGAGCAATGTTTCTTTCAGGGCTACGACAAAAACTGTCAGACAGCATGAAACAAGAGTTACAATCCTAACACAAAGCAATAAAAAACTTGAAGATAACATCTTCAGCTTGGAAAGCCAGTAAGAGAAGTTTTTTTAGAACAATTTTAGCGAGATTGTGAAACTTGGCGCACACTAAATAGTTTACTTGTTTTACAACAGAATCGAAGAATCCAATTCTCAGATTAATCACCTTAGTCGAAAATTGGAGCAAAAAGACGAACGAATTAAAGGCTTAAAGAATCGACTCGAGGAAGCTGTCCATCAGAATAATAAACTAACAAATGCATTGGATTTAAAAGAGGATAAAATAAGAGCTGTAGAGGAAAGGTATGAAAGACGGGGGAGATCATTCTTCCTTTTCAAGTTACTTCACAGCGGCTGTCTTGGATGAACTTCAACAAGAGATTTCTCATTAGTATTTATTGTTCATTCYTCCAACATGGCCGCTGGTCTTTTATCTTTTGAATCTTATAGGAATGGTTGAAAACGATCAATAGGCGATGTGAACAATTTGTTTATTGTACAAACTACATGTTTCATAATGCTTTCTTGGTTTACTTTGAAATCAGACACTAAAAGCTAGTTTGGAAAATCTGAACAACATTTTGGAAATAAGAGATCTAAATTTAATTAGATTATTAAAAACAACAGAAAAATAATGAAACTTTTCACTTTTCCCCAAAAAAATATAAATATATTTTCTGATGTTTTATGCTTTTTCATATTTTATAGGCTAGGAGATGCTTCGAAGCAGGTCGTGCAGCTTAGAGAGGTGATTCTTTGTGCCAACGTTGTTTGGGCCGACTATTTTTTGTTGTTATTGTTATTTATTTATATATTTAATATTCTATCTACTCTTGTACCTGTTTCAAAAACGTTAACTCCCCCCCCCCCCTTCCTTCCCCTTTTTTAATTTTCTTTTCTTTTCATTTTTACCAGCGTTTTTGCAAAGAGTTGATTGATTCTTCACTTATCATGTTCTCTATTTAAGAAAAACATGTTTGTTTATTTTATTTATTTATTTATTTGTTTGTTTACAGCCTTTTGCAAAAATTATGAGAATTGTTGAAATATCTAAATATCATAATRTYGAGTGCATGATGGGTAATCCCRCGCGATGCCCTTAGTCCCTTGTCTTTGTAGTTTTTTTTTTTTTTGGCGATTGACTTATCCGTAGTTCTGAACATTTTCTCGATGTCAACAATGAATTATTCTAGCAAACCCGCGTGTTCCGGACAATATATGGATGTGGATATTATGATATTTAGATATTTAGACAATTCTCATAATTTTTGCAAAGGGCTGTACCATTTTGTCTATACATTAATTCATTGCTCATTCACGTATAGGAAAATCAAAGTCGAGCAACTGGACGAGAAAAAGATAGTAAACAAGGAAAAGCTTCCTCAACAATTATCTTTAAACCTGCGTACAACTCGAGGTATTACACACTTTTACGTGTGTTGAATAAAATTGCTTTACAGCAGAAACCGTTGCATCGTGACTGCAATGATCAAAGGAAATAGTTGTTTTTTCTGCGACTTAGGGGCGGAGCTTGATACTGATCAGCCAATGATTGAACGAGTTTTCGAAAAGCTCCGCCCCTCATAGATTTAAAGAAAGAACAAAATCTAGACAACTCCAAAACAAAGAGGTCGCGATSCAACGATTTCCACTGTAAGGCACACTCTGTTAGTTTTTTTTAAGCGCTTAAAACATGAAGAGGAAATGAGGTTCTAAAGATTACCATTATGACTTCGAGTATATTGGGCGTCTCTCATCGCTCCTGATTCTTTTTTTGTGTTGTTGTTCTGAGATATGATTTTTTAGAAATCTTTTCATTCAATTGTACTGCAGTGTAATGTTTACTTGTTGTTCTTGTTGTTCTGAGATATGATTTTTTAGAAATCTTTTCATTCAATTGTACTGCAGTGTAATGTTTACTTTAAAGAATCCCGACTAGCTACAATACACCGCGCGCTAGTGTAAGAGTCTCCTTCACGGATACCTGCGCCATCTTGAAAGGTAGCCGTGCCTTTGCACCGAAGCGAGACGACTGTTGAGCGTGCAATGATAGATACCTGTGAATAATTGTCTATAGGTGTGAAAGAAGGTTTCTATCATCGCACGCTCAACGGTTGTCTCGCTTCGATGACAAGGCACGGCTACCTTTCAAGATGGCGCAGGTATCCGTGAAGGAGACTATTGTTACATACGGGATATCATTAGTTCAGCCAATGGCAGGGTCATCTCCACGACGACCGTCATCTTGAAAAGGAGTCAGTCGAGACGGCCCTGGGGACGGGGTTGCTAATAACCTCGTCAAGCATACAATATATTATAGATTAATAGTACTTGTCTTGTTAGGTACGTAGTTAAATGTATTTCTGTCCGGCAAACTTAGAGGATGGAAGACGATTCGCGCCCACTTTAAGTTATCCTGCGAATCCGCAATTTACGTGTCCACTTAAATAAATTTTAAACCAGCCTTCGCTGAATTGGGTGGCCTSTTGAAATATTGCCTATGAATAAATAAACCTAAAATGACGCTTCCGCTCGTCAAAGTACAGCGGTTGGTTGTGATTTTTTAAATTAATTTTCCATATATTTGATGTCTTAGGGACGACCGAAAAACTGTCCATATGCTATCGGTGGCTGACAAGCGAATAGCCGACTTGAATGACGAAATCCGTATCCTTGAGAAGCAGGTCTGTCAGAATATATTAACTAACTAATAGTAGATTTCGTATACTAGAGAATATTTTGATTCGCTTACAAATATGGTAACCATTCTAATCTTTTTAAATTAATTTTCCATATATTTGATGTCTTAGGGACGACCGAAAAACTGTCCATATGCTATCGGTGGCTGACAAGCGAATAGCCGACTTGAATGACGAAATCCGTATCCTTGAGAAGCAGGTCTGTCAGAATATATTAACTAACTAATAGTAGATTTCGRTACTTATCTCAAGCTGTCAAACATATTACGTACGGATGCTTACGTTTTTCCTGCATATCAGCGCTTTTTTATTGATTGTTTKTTGTTGTTGGTCCCATTCACAATGCTACCATATCTGGCAAAACTTGACATCACGTTCCATTCCATTGTTGTGCAGCCCAACATTTCACTATTAGGCCATCTTAATTGATGATGCATCACTTCATGCCTTTGTAACCACTATCTTTTCCCTACTGACTCCTTGTTTTGTACGGAAGAGGTGTGTCATTCTATTGATAAAACTATCAAAACCGCGGTTGGCGATGTTTCTTTGCGATTTAAAAGTTATTGGTGTCAGAGAATAGTAGAACGGATTTCGTATGAGTGGGAAACGGACGGTATTGTACTGTGACCGTAATTGTACTGTAACCAAATTCTAGTGCCTCATTGGTTCACCAAAATTGTGCAGGCCAGGTCCGGTAACTGTGCGGTAACCGTGCGGTAACCGTGCGGTAACCGTGCGGTAACGGTGTCCCACTCATACGAAATCCGCTCTATCACAATGTAGATGAGACAGCTTATGTGTGCTAAACTTACTGTTTGGGAAAAAGGTCATAATTATTTATCGCAAATTAACCTGAAACATTAGAAAACAATCAAAAAATAACAGCATGGTTCAGTTTGTACGTTCGTCTCAATTCAATGATGCAKCTCTYTGATGTCATTAGGGAAAAGAACAATTTACATTGAGTAGCTAATAAAATGCGCGACCCTTTCAGAATGCAACCATTAAAACCCAAAGTGAAGGATTCTCGTCACGTAATGCACAGCTCCAGATTGAAAACGAGTCACTTCATAACGAACTGCGATTGGTTAGAGGAGACTTTATGTCATTACAAAGCGAGCTGAATGAAGCACGTGACTATTACCATCAGTTGGACCTGTCGGCCATAAATATGGGTCACAGATGCGAGGTAAGGTTAAAAAAGGGAAAAAAAGGGAAAATGTGTTGGGTGCTTATCATCATTCATGGCAGCACTGGTACTGAATTGCGAAAGACGCAGCTCGGCGCGCTCTCAATTCGAAGTGCTGTAKTACAGACAAATTTTACATACATTTACATATAGGCGTGCTGCCGGCGAGGCGCTTCCCTGACATAGCAACTGAATGCGGATCACAACAGATAGAAATGTTTCGTTTTTACTTAGGGAGGAAAAAGCGAAAGAGACCCGGAAAAATCTCGAAGCAAAGCAATGATTTTCCCTTGTGTTTACCTAATGAGTTACTAATGAATTTGATAACTGTCTTTAAAAATTTTCAAGATGCTGAGYCAACTAAATGCTACTTTGGAAGAGGAAAACAAAGCTTTGCATGACAAAGTTAGCTGGCTTATGGGACAGGTAAGGGTGAAATTTCCTGAATTACAAACAAAGTTTCGTACACTGTTTAGTGTCACCTGCTTTAACTAAAGTTCCTAACCTCGCTTTATTGATCTCTTTCTCTGTCTCTCCAATGTGAACTTATCTGTACATTTAGCAAGTTATTTAGCCGTCTTTTTTATCTTTAGAATCGGGAACTCATGGTAAAAAATCTGGAAGAAAAAGACCAATTCATGGAAGAAGAGCGTTTGTTCTCGTAAGAAAGCTGTCATTATCAATCAATAATATCAATATATCTATTATCAAATAATATACAG